AGGTGACCGTGAAAGGGGGAGCCTTGGGTCAGGGGATACTGTCCCAGCCCAGTTAGTCAAAGGCCATCAAGACAAACTTGAAGTCCAACAAAGTCAGGTTTATGGTTCTTAGGAATGAAGGAGACTGTATCAGTGGACCTACTGAGCATTTCACGAAGAGAAGAAAGAGATAAAGCTACTGTGTGATTTGGGGGAAGGGAGGAGGTTAGGCAAAATTTAAATGAAGCAATAGTTTGATGGCCTTGATGCAAACTGGCTATCTTCTCTACAAGGGTCAGTATTTGGTCTAAACTGCCAAGTGGACCCAAGACCCTGTTTGTTTGTTTGTTTGTTTATTTATTTACTTATTTTAAATTGGGGAATTAAACAGTTATATGGTGGTGTGTCTACAAGCCCTGGTCTAGAACCTATATCTGGGTCAGAAATTCAGGCTGCTTCTCCAAGTTAAAAGACTTAAATCCTCCTGAAAAAGTGAACGATTTTTATTCTTACTGATTTTATTTCCAACGGTGAAGTCTCTGACAGCCTAAGATTTTAAAACAAGCTTTCTCACTGACTAAGAAAACAGAAGTCATTCAGAAGTGGATTTGTTATGGCATTTTGCAGCTGTAGCATGACCTTGGGGGAAAGTTTCCAGCTAATTTTGCAGCTGGCTTTGTCTACATCTGCTACGCTAGCCTGATTCATAGAAGAGCAGAATTTTTTTCTTTCTCAATGTGTTGATCTTTACTTTGTCAATAACGTGTCTGGAGAAAGAATTGTTTGGGCTTTTATAAAAAGAAAATCACCAGCTACTTTGTAGAATACAGTACATCATAGATGAATACAATAAAAAATAATTGCTGTGTTGAAAGTCAAAGAAAACTACCCAAAACATTCATTCTGTTTTATTATTCCTGAACACTTTTAGATCAACTACATAATCCTTTAAAAGTATCTATTAAAAAGTAGCTTTCTTTTTTTAAGAATTATTTTATTTACCTTTATTTATTTATTTATTTTAATTTGACCAGAGAGGGACAGAGAGAGAGAGAGAGAGAGAGAAAGTAAGCCGCCAGGTCCGGGACTCAAACCATAGTAGGCTATATGAGAGTCGAGTGCCTTTAACCAGCACGCCACCTGCCGGCCCCAAAAAGCTTTCTTATAGCTTTCTTATAAAATAGATCCAGACCTAGGTTTAGAAGTAATTAAATATTTTGTGTCAATATTGTATGATGATGGAGGACTAAGTGGGATGTAGCTATAAAGGCTTGGCATTGGCCTGGTGTGTAGGAAGTATCCTGGTCATCTGCAGGGCCTGAGATCAGGCCCAGGGTCAGCCCATCTTCGACTGCAGAGGAGATGGGGATGCTGAGAATGGAAGGAGAAGGAAGACCCAAGGATGGGAAAATAGATCTGACTGGGCTCTTGAACGCCCCAACACACCGAGAGGAGGAAAAGGGGCCTGGAATCGGTCCTGCGTTTACTACCTACTCCACCTCCGACCTGGTCTGGGACCCCAGGAGCACAGATCTACACACTTGTCGAGCCCTAGGTTTGCCATCTGAAAAACTAAAGCGTTTTCCTCCTTGTAGGAGCAGGAGCTCGGTGAAATAATGGCTCTCCATAACTGGAAACACCCTCTCAGCCTGTTCTGTCCTGTCCGTGTCTGCGTGGACAGTCACTCCTCTGTATTTGCAGGAGGTTGGTTCCAGGACACCCCATGGGTCCCCAAGTCCATGAATGCTCAATCTGTTACCTGTCGTCAAATGGTGTAGTATTTGCATGTAACTTATGCATGTCCTTCCTTATGTTTCCAATCATCACATAGAATACTTCCAGTACCTAATAGGATGTAAACGCGATGCAAATCGTTGTTACGTGTTCATTTAATAATGACAAGGAAAGAAGCCCATAGACGTTCAGTACGGACTCCACCAATTATCATTGTTGATTCTGTGTTGGTTGAATCCACAGATGTGGAGCCTGTGGGGAGAACTTGGTGTGCGAGAGTGTCCACTGCACATATTTCACTAAAGGTGACTCCGGGGATCACAGTCTCTTTTTGGCCTAGATTTTGGATTCTAGACCCTGAATTATTTCTAGGGTGGATTCGGGGTTCTGAGGTAGGCGAAGTTCCTAGGTGTAGCCACCAGGAGGCGCAGTGACTCTTTGCCTCCGCTCTAGGGCAAATTCACCAGGTTCCTGAACGGGAAGTTTGTCACAAACTGCGGGAGGGTGGGCGGTTTCTCTGGAAGGGGTCAGGATGGTCGAGAGTTGGGAGGGTTTAGTAGGCAAGGAGGAAGGTTA